CTAAACTCAAAATTGATGTACCCTAATTGTTTTTTTGTTTTTTTTCCAACGATTAGTTGGTTGTTGGGATTGAAATATCTGTGCCTTTTGCAGATGCGCATGTCCCGAAGGTTCGTAATAACCATAACCTTCCTCAACAGAGTGGCTACCTTCGGCCACAGCAGCGGTCAGCGAGCAACGAGATCCGACTTCCCCCAGAATGGTCTTACTAATCTGAACTGAACTGGCTTTAGTGGTTTGCTGTAGGAACTAATTAATTTTGGGTTAGGAAAGCGTCATTAGGAATTAGGTGTTTAGAGAACAGATAGTGTTATAGAGAAGAAGAAGAAATAGCATAAAATAAAGGGTTCAGAAGGGTGTCTGGTTAAAGCTGAAGAGCACAGCAGTAGCTGCAGTGATAGCAGTAACTTTTGTTCTTTTTTATGGGCTCGGGGTAGTCAAAGGCGAGGACAAAAGCAGTGGATGGTATAATATGACTTCTGCCTTGTTTTGTTGTGCGGATAATAAGCAACTGGCAAGCCAAGCTAACGAAGCAGATAAAGCCAGTTTTTTTTTTTTTTGATCTGAAGATAAGCCAGTTAGGATTAAGGGAAAGCTTCAGCATTTTGTGACAGGGAGATTTATTTGTCTCATCAAAATACGCTCCCTTTTCTATTGTTGCGTCACAATGGAATCGGTGGCACAAAAATTATGTCACCAATTTCTGATTTCGTTCCTGTTTCACCCATTAGTTATATTAATAATATATGGAATTTTATCAATTTTCGGTCCTCCAATTTCCTTTTGATTCATTTCTCACTGGGTCATCGGGTGAGTTTTTGTCTCTGTCTCTTCCTTTTCCCAACGAGAATCTTAAGATTTGAATGGATTAAAAATGTTTGATTTAATTTCATCTTTTAAACTGTTAAAAGTGTTTTCCCACTGCCCACTGGAGGTGCTGGTGTAATTCTCAGTGATTATGCGAGCAATGAACAAGGAACAACTCAAAAGGCCAAAAAATAACTTGGGGGAGAAGGAGCCCTCTGTTATTTTTAAAAAATGGGCATTAAAATATGGCCCTTTTGCTCCGCCCAAGACGGTGGCAGCTGGATATCTGGTGTAATGTCTACTCAGACTGATATCTGGTGTAATGTCTACTCAACTGACTGAACCCCTTAGGGTTAGGGCTTCAATTATGAGCCTCCCTTTAACTGTACGCAGTATTTATGGTTTGCCTTTTTTTTTGGCTTTTTTTTTTGGCTAAACGACATCTCTATATTTTTATAATGAAATGAGTACCACTCTTATTGATCGAAGAACCCATTAAATGAAAGGGGTAGGAAAAGGAAAGAGGGGGGAAGGCTCATGGGAAGGATAGATTTCCTGAGGGAAGAAGTGTCTGGGGCAGACTTTACTTGTGAGGCAAGTCTCCTCTGCAATTGGGCTTGGGTTCGGCCACCATTGGGAGCTTTACACGTGTCACAAAATAAAGTGTGCTAATAAGTCGTTTTCATATCTTCACATTTTGCAAAGGCAGCAGATATCGTATCTCTGTCCAAAACTCACCTCTCTCCCTCTCTCTCACGCTGGCGGCTCCTCTGTCCACTGCTGACGGCACCCCCTTTAAAAAAAAAAGATAACCTAAACGACCAGCTCAGGGAATTTGGCAGTCTTTTATTAAAACAAAATTCTTGTAAATTATTTCCAATAAGTTATTCCAAACACCACTTTAATTAGATTAACTATATTTTGGTTTGATTAACTTCTAAATTTTCCTTTGAGCCAAAAAAACAAATGACTTTCATAATTACAGCTCTGTTTTTAATGAAGCGCACTATTTACCACAATTTATAAGCCGCGCGACTTTTCATAATTCATGAATATTATAGTTTGATTGGCTCATGATATTCTTTTCCTCAACAAACACGAATTAATTGAAGATCAAGTAAAATTAGATATTCTAGTCAGTCCAAAAAAAGCTAGATATTCTAGAGTTTTTGGATGTCTTAAAATTCTAGGGATGCGCTGCTATAGCATATTACCTCTGGTCCTAGTTGATTAATTTGAATAGATTAAGAAAAGAAATTAAATTAGTTATTATAATAAATAAATTTTTTTAAAAAATATCTTTGCTAATTAAATATATTAACTAGAATTATCATTATTAGAAGGGCTATCTTAAAAAAATACATAAATATGAGAGATAAATTAAATTGGAGTCTTATATATAAGAACAAAATAAAAATTAAATGAGATTTTATATTAAGGATTAGTATTAAACTAATTTCACAAAGGATAAGATGATGCAAAAACAGCCATTAGTAATCGAAAGAGAGAATCTGCGTTTACTAACCTGGCTTTGCGTTTGATTCAGAATAAAAAAGACACAGGAGTCAGCGCTAAAATTCTGAAAAGAACAGTAACCAAATCATACGAAAACCCCATGCTACATTCATCTGTAGGCTTTATCTTTTGGAGTAGTACGTAATATTTTCATGAAACAATCCTTGGACTAAGCCGAATTCATGGCAACGGGAAAAAACCCAATAATCATTATCCAATTATAACGAAATCCATCAAACAGGCTTTGTCGTGAACCTGGAAATAATTGCCGGAGATGGTGAATTGCGATAAATTTATGAGTAAAAAGGGGGAAAAAAAACAGAGGGCATATAACCAGATTCGCGATGTAGAGTCTCCAGTTAGCTACTGATTAAATGAAAGCTTCCAATCATTCATCAAATTAACTTAATCCAAAAGATAAAGCCTACAGATTCATTGCCGCCAAAGCTGCAAATTTCCCAGAATTTCATCCATAGACGAGTGCAGGGTTTGAAGGATTTGTATAAACAAAAAGTCTATAATGAGAACCAGAGGTAGTATATATGAACTTTTCAGTTGGAGCGGCGAATATGGGTCGGCCTGATTTCCAAGAATGAGGGGTTTATAAAAAACTGTACTTTGGGCTTGGGCTTTAAAACCCTAAAGAATGGGCTTGAAAACGGGCTAGCTTATCAGCATTTTTGTTTAAAATATTCGTTTTAAATGGCAAAACCCCATCTAGCTTGCGATTATAGGTTAGAGAAAGGTAGTCCCGGAGTCAGATGGAAGGTTGGCGAGCGGTCTGGTGAACATGCAAATTCAGAACTTCGTGGCCGATATTCTAGCTAAGGATTGGTTATCTTCTTCCTCCTTTTTGGACGCGCGTCCGCCTTATTTGCAGACCTGAAATTGACAAAAACCGAGGTCCAATTTAAATTAGTTTATAAGTAACTTTTTAAATCATGATTTACGAAATACTGAGATAAATATATAAGAAGAGTTTTGTTATAGTTTATGTGAAATGTGTTTATAAGTGATTTCTAACGCTCTACCAAATAGGGCTTGTATCTCCCTTATTTAATTACTACCTCCAATCTTTAATATAAAATTTTGTTTCATTTTTATTTTGGTCATAATTTTAAAATTCTAATCCATTTTATCTTTCATATTTATTTTTTTTCCCTAGATAGTCCTTATAATAATGACAGTTCTAGTAATAAACTTGATTATCAATGATATTTTAAAAAAGATAATACATATTTATTACAAATAATTAATTTAATTTATTTATTTTTTTAATCTACTCAAATTAAGTTTGACCTTCTTGATTATCCGAATCTTTGTAATCATTCATATTCGTAACTTGTTTCTATTTTGAAGTCTTCCCCTGTTTACTAGTTTCCTCCCTTTTCATTTTCTTTGTTATTTTTTTTTTGACGGGTAAATTTAGATGCTGTTAACTTGCTTTATTTATGTTATCCCCTGTGTTAATTCCTGTGTGGGAGTAGATGAAATAACAAACATTCCTTGTGTTATGCCATAGCTCATTGACTGCTAGAGAACACTGAAGATAAAAGTGTCTCATACCCTGCAACTTCTCCTTTGTCACCGGCGTGCTGAAGGATGGGACTTGAGAGTTGAACTCTGGTTAGAATTTTCAATTAATCACTTTGGGCTAGTGTAAGATTATGTTATAATTAATATATTATATACTAATACATGCACATCTTATTAGGGGTGTTCATGATGCCCGGTCGTTCAAGCAACCCGAAACTGAAAAAAATTCACCCAACTCGGCAAAAACAAAAGAGGTACTTTTGGGCTGGGCATATCATGGGCAGGACTAGGTTGTGGGCACAGTATAGAGCCCTGCTTGTTTGGTTTTGCCCGTAATATATAAATATATAATATATTTTAACTATTATTTTTCCCATTTGCCCTAGCCACTCCTTCTTGTTAGTGGACTCCTTTTCTCTTGCTATCCGCTGCCCTCCTTGGAGGAGGGTGCTTTTTTTTTAATTTAAAAAAAAATCTAATACCTTAAAAATATTTTTTCAGTGTCATTTCCTATCCTAAATTAGTTGTTAATACACTCAGCAAGGTAAAATATTTTTTTGGTAGCACTCAATATTTAACACCCAGCATTCTAAGATATTTCTTAGTAGCACTCAGTACTGTAACATAATTTTTGGTTCACTTAGCAGGTTAAAATATTTTTTAGTAACATCTTCTATGCAATATCTAACATACTGCGGTATTTTTTTTAGTAGCATTAACTATTAAGTATCTTGAGCTAAATTTTATGAAAAATTACTTTAAGATACTAAATGCTATTAAAAAATTACTTTAAGGTGTTGGATACACTAAATATTAATTTATGATATTAGGTGTTATTAGAAAAATACTTTAATATAATGGGTATTACTGAAAATTTTTTAGGATATTGGAGGCTATTAAAAGACACAGAGAGTTAGACATTGAGTACTGTTAGAAAAATATTTTAAAGTAGTAAGTGTATTAAAAATTCATTTACAATACTCAATCGGATATACCCATTTTCTCGTACCACTCTTTCGATACATAATCGAATTGTTTTGAAAGATTTTCGCGTATCGAATTCGAAGTGCCATGTTATTTTATGATAGTGAATTTTTGTTTTTCACTCAAAATGCTGCAACTTTGAGGGTAGAGGGAGGAGGGCAGCGGATGGTTAGGGAAAAGAAAAGAAGCCGCGTCCCTGGTTCTTTTGTTCGCCGCTCTGCCCGCTCACTCGAAGTCTCCACTGTCTAGCGATAGCAGCGACTCCCTCCTCTCTCCCCATCTCTCTGCAATCTCCATCTCTCATTTCAGTTCAAGCTTTCGATTGCTCACTCCGTCTCACGTCCGTCATCTATCTCAGACGGGAACACATCAACGCGAGTGCACACTAACTCTCGTCTACCTCGTCCGTCTGTCCTCCTTAATTCTTTCTCAGTCTCCCCGCGCCACTCGTTTCAGGTGCTCTCTCTGTCTCTCGTCGATTTCATCTCAGGTTGTATTTCTTTCTATTTTTTTAATAAGTGTGGATGCTGATAGTTAATTATATGGACGACAATAATAAAATAGCTTTGAAGCTTGAGGTAAAAATGGGAAGTTAGTGGATAGAAATCGTTGGGGTGAGCGTAAAATTTTGTTTTGAGTCAAAGCCAGGAACTTTTCTTATGAATAAGTTGAATAAGGCTTGTGAATTACAGCTGATACTATGGGCCTCCGCCGTAACTGATGCTATACTTTTCTATTTTGAGTCGAAGTTAGGAACTTTCGTGTTTAATTGTTTATATCAAGATTGTTGTTTGCTGGAACTACTCTCTTCATTGTAACTGATGGTTCATTAAGACATTAATTGATTGATATTTCTTTTATATATTATATATGAAGCTTGAGTTCAAGTTGTTTAGCGCGCATATACACATATATGGAAGTCATCTTTAAGGATGTCTGGCTTTAAAAAAAAGGGACGGATGGAGAAGTCATTTTCAAAATTGAATATGTTGGGGAAGACAGACAATGAATAAAGTGAACAAAGTAACTATAAAATTCTGCTTTGACCCTTTTTGGCTTGTGAATAGATGAAATCAATCCTAGCTGCTGATTTGTTGTGTCTTCTTTTTTAATTTCTTTTTTGTCTTAGGCAGATTTTCTTATGCATCAATTGTATCAGCTGGTCTGTTATGAATTGTGCTCTGTATCCGTATTTTTGTATCAAATACTGATGCAATTGTCTTCCTTTTTGTTGGCTTATACTACTATAAGATGATCTTATTGTAGTATAAATGACAATTTTGCTGATGCTACCTATATCGGTTTTATCATAACAAATCTTTAATTAGTCGTTACGTAACTACTGGGAATGAATATTTGGGTTCGTTGTAAATGTTTTCTCTACTTTCTCTATTACGAGGCATTTTAAGTTTATTATTATTGTGTTTTCATGGAAATACATTCTTTGTAGTTATGTGGGTTCAAGTTCTCTAATAAGTTTGAGTGGGAATATGAGTAGGGGATTTGAAATTTTGAACCCCTCCCATATGACCCTGATGATCTAATATTAAGGGAAGCTGTTGTTTCTTGATGTGTGAAGATTTCCAGTCTGTACTAGTGTCAAAGGTTTCGCACAACTTTTGTATGTGCAAGAATGGTGGGTCTATCCCTTGGAGAAAAGCAATTCATACAAGGTGGTATTGCTCAGGACATCCGCTCTGATGGTAGAAAGAGGCTGACGTATCGACCCATCTATGTTGAAACCGGTGTTATTCCTCAGGTGGTGCATGAATGAATTGAAAGAGTAATCTGACTTTTTCACCCTAGGGTTTTTCATGGCTGCCTGACCATGTGGATTTTGCATGCTCTATGTTGTATTAATTTCTACATTTGATGGACTTCATGGCAGGCAAATGGTTCAGCAAGAGTCAGAATGGGTGCCACCAATGTCATTGCCAGTGTGAAGGTATTTTATGGTTTTAGGACAGATTTTTGCTTTAGGACTCAGCTTCCTTTTGTATCACTGTATTAGCCACTTAAGCTTGTTTTTAGCCATTTTACTAAACCATGATATGTATTGGCCTAAGTGCAGGCTGAATTAGGAAAGCCAAGCTCATTGCAACCTAACATAGGGAAAGTCTCTATACATATCGATTGCAGCCCCACTGCAGCACCAGCTTTTGAGGTTTTATATTCAACTCTGCTAATCATATAATTTAACTTCAATTCCCATGAGCATTTTAACAAAGCAACCATCGCTGAAAATTTACCAGGGGAGTAGGGTTCAGGTTCGCACGAACTAGGGGACATTATTTGTCATTATTCAGTTAATATAAGCATCTTTGTTTTTTTTTTTTTTTTTTTTGGGGCTACACCTGTAACCTGTTTATCCCTTTATACTTCAATATAGGGTAGAGGAGGTGAGGAATTGTCAACAGAACTGTCAAATGCTCTTCAACGGTGTCTCTTGGGTGGTAAAAGTGGAGCAGGTCTGTATTCATTTTACCATATGCTTTCCCTCCTGTATTATTTCTTTCTATTGAAATTTGAATTCTTGCTCTTAACTGCTAGGCTATTTTCTTAGGTGCTGGAATTGATCTCTCCTCGCTGGTGGTTGTGGAGGGAAAAATTTGTTGGGATCTTTACATTGACGGGCTCGTTGTCAGCTCAGATGGAAATTTGTTGGATGCTCTAGGAGCTTCCATTAAGGTAGCAGTCTTTACTGTTCAAGCTATTGTGAGCCTGGAAGGCGACGATGTTCAGTTTTTGGCACACAACTGCAAATTAGTATTTCTTATTGTCCCGTTACGCTGATAAAATCGATGCTTGTTAATTATCAAATTTTTTCCGTGCATCAATTTTGAGCTGTTGATGATAGGACGCGTATCTTGACAGCGGAAAAGTTGTGGAATGTAATAACCTTTTGTTTGTAGTAGCATCTGGCAATGCTCAGAAGTTTCCAAAACAAATACAATACCGAAAACAGTTATTGGACTTGTATTTTTCCACATTTATTTTCCTTTTTATGGTTTAAAGAATACATTGTCATTGCTAGAGGCATTTATGGAGGACGTGATGCCTGTTTATTCCTGTTATTCTTTCAGGCTGCTTTGAGCAATACGGGCATCCCAAAAGTCCAGGTCGCTGCAGGTGCATCAAGTGATGAGCAACCAGAAGTTGACATTAGCGATGAAGAGTTTCTGCAGTTTGACACATCTGCAGTCCCTGTTATAGTTACCCTGACTAAGGTCATATTCTTCTCCTCATCTACTAGGATGAAGTACGATCACTTACAGTATTTTTTTTTGTGTCTGTTTTTTTTTTTTTTTTGCATATATATTCTCACCTTCATATTGGACATATCACGAAGCTTTAAATTACATTGTAAACATTTTTGACCAAAAACAAAAAAAATTACATTGTAAACATACATATCATGTTAGGTCCAGTGTTAGTGGTCCGTACCATGTCCATGTTAGATAGCTCTCCCATCCTATATTTACCGTATATTTTGACAAGAATTCTTACATTGGCACTTGATTGTAGGTAGGTAGGCACTATATTGTTGACGCCACTTCAGAAGAGGAATCACAAATGAGTTCTGCTGTATCCATTTCTGTTAATAGGAAAGGGAACATCTGTGGTATAACTAAACGAGGAGGTGCAGGGTTGGATCCTAGCATCATTCTTGATATGATATCTGTGGCCAAGCATGTGAGCGAGCAGCTAATTAACAAGTTGGATTCGGAAATAGCTGCTGCTGAAGCTGAAGACGAGTCCTGACATCCTTGGAACATTAATTTTTAAGTGATTAACTTCCCTCCGTTCCTTTAGCCTAAGCCATTCACAAGGTTAAGTGTATTTCATAGCTGAGCAAAAGATTTCTCTTGGTTACATAGCTCAACAAAAAGTCAATGTTGTTAGTAGTTACAAGATAGCAACTAAAGAAGCTGAAGACCGGTTATTACATACCATGGAGTCTTCAATCTTGTGTAAGCTATATACTTAGATAGCTGGCATTAATCTTTAAGCGATCGACTTCAGTTTATGTATCCCCCCGTTTATGTCTGAAATACCGTCATTCGAAAGGTTAAAATGTATACTAGATTTGGATTCAACATGTTGTATGGGCGCATTGTGTTCCAAGTCTCTTTTTGCAACTCAGGACGGGTGTAAAGTGCAGAACCGTGAAAGTAATGAATGCGTAGATCCGTCGCCTCATAATTCCCATTTCATTGAGGGGGATTTAGTTATTCTTTACTGCAACCCCAGTCGATGATCTATTATTTTTACTTAATATGAACTTAATTTAAAAAATTGAAATTGTGAAAAATGTCCATGATAATTATAAAATCAATGTAGTACATATAAAAGTATGAAGAAAAATAATACCATAAAACAATTGCGTAAGCAAGAAGGAAGATAAAAGACAAGAAGGTTCAGATGGGACGAACTCATCAGAGGATTCACATGAAGCTGCACACGATGCCCCTCAAATGTATGTTATTTAAATATAATTGCTCAAGCTGAAACGTATGCGTTTCGATTATTTGAACCTTCATACTATTTAGTGTATGTTGATTATGATTATTGCACTTATAATTTGAGTGAATTTGCCAGTTGTTTACTTTAAATATTGTGATTAGTTTTTCATAAAGCCAGCTTTTCTTTTGGTGATTAAGAAGGTGTTTGGCAAGATAACAAGATAGACTTCTTCACATATTTACTTCGTATACTGTAAAAATATTTTTAAAATCGAGATTTGGCTTCCATCCAAACACCTTCTAACACAGTCATTCATGTCGGTGATTCTCGGGCAAGAGTGAAGCTTTTGGCTTGGAAACGAAGAGAGTTGGTGTCTCACTTTCTTTCAAGCACTTTACACAGGGGGAATGGATTTGATCATAAGCATGAATAAATTATTGTTAGATTTCATTTTCTTGGAAGGTCACAATTCTTGAAAGGTTACAACAAAAACCAGACATGGGAAGAGATGGATTACGAGGAAAGCCATTGCCGATCGACCTGTCTGAGTTACTACAAGTCGGATGTCTTACCAGGGTCCGACCCGGCCTTCTTCCTCCGGATTGCCTGAGTACCGAAGACCAGGAAACCGATGACGTGACCAACAATAGCGACGACAAACACGCCGCCGTTAAATGACATGACGGCCAGCATGACCATGTAGGAGAGGCCGGTTCGAACGCCGTAGATCGCTGTCTTGAGCACCCCAGCAACGACATCGTTCTTGCCGGGCTTGAACTTCACCATATCCGTGAAAGAAAGCCACTCAACCAGCACAGCCATGGTGAAGACCAGCACCAAAGACAGACCGTACATGACGGGGTTATCTCCAGGCCAGCACGGGAAAAGCACGTATGCCTTGTGGCCCCAATATAACGTCGTGTGTATCGGGATCCGCCGTCGGCCCAGCCTCGCTGCCACTGTTGAGTTGTACGGAGGATCCGTCGGCGCAGCTTCCATGGCGTTGTTTGGAGTTATTTTCTTTCTCTTGTAATTATCTCCGCGATGTGCGTGTAGGGGAAGAGAGTGACTTATATATATATACACGCGCACACATGTTTAGGAAGGAAGACATTAAAAGTGTGAGCTGATGAATATGACAGAAGATATGATTCCTTTAAAAACATTGTTCCATAATTCGTCTGCAAGCAAGCACAGGTTATGTTGGCAGAAAAAAGCGGAAATAATACGGAGAATCGGAAGGTAGGAAAAGGCTATGCCCCGCATTATCATATTGATGAATTTTGTTTAAAGGCGTTTAGTAGGGAGCATTTGTATAATTTTATAAGGAAAAATTTAAGCGCCAACATTCTAACTGGCCATTCCAAATTTCAACGAGTCATTTGCATTTCACGGAATCATAAAATCATGATAGGATGAAACAAATGAATTGAGACTCTGATTTTAAGTTGCGATTTTGGCTCAAAAAACATTTACGGAGGGATAATTTGATCATCAATAAGATTCTTACATAGCCAGCGGGATTTGAACTTCCAAGTCACAACTTTACAGGTTATGAATCATCTTTCTTACCAACTAAATTAATTTTGTTGGCTGAATGGAATGTAATTTGTTTCATCATATTCATGTGAAATCTTGATTCCAAGTTCCAACGTGAAATTTTCTTTCCCTCTTATCCACTAAAGATTACTTTTTTACTTAATTTATAAAAAAAATAATATCAAATGAAAATATGATAACTTAATTAAAACCATGTCCAATTGCGGTTTACGCATTGAATCTTAAGCTAGTGTGCTTTGACTGATGCAATGCCGGTGCGGCGGTGCCCAACGCCAATCCACAAGGTAGAAATATTGAAAGATACAAGGTGAGCTGAGAAAAATTTTATCAGTAAAATCGTGCTTTTCCCTCCATGTCGTTATGGAAGAGAAGCAAAGATCAATCTTTCCCAAAGAAGATAAACTCATTGTTGTAGCCAGCGAGTAGAATCATACCCGACTCAAACAAAATGGGACACTGCCACTCTCATTATCTGAGCTCAAATGATCGGATAGATCGAAGGAAGAACGACAAAGACAATCATTGAACTTCAATATTTTAGACTTCATTTCACGACATGACAGAGCAAAACTGTACGAGGCAGGTTCAGATGCAGCATGGATTCATTTATTCATCAAAATGCTATAGCTGTTACAGATTATGTCTACAGTAAAGCCATGTCGCACATGTAGCTTAAAAAATGAGTGAGTTCTTCTGAGTACGAGAGTGAGGCATCAGCAAACCCAAAGCAAAATTGGGAAAGAGAATGTCAGGAGTAAACTTTGAAGAATTCACAAGTCTATTGGGGAAGCATGATGAATACAAATAAACCACTGGCCATCAATCCTCTCAAACACATTTGTCACAAACTGTCCTCCCCATCTTCCTCCTTTTGTCTTTACGAATTCCATGCATGTGACATATCCCATATCCCCTCTAGCATGAACCTTAATGTCTTCTAGCTTAATCTCCAACGGGAATTCATAGTTGGCCCACACAAAATTCCAGCTCTCTATAACATCATCATAACCAGATATTCCTTTCAAACCAGGGTGGACACAACATACCTCATCCCTTCTGGCCCAAAGAGCTTGCATTGCTGCAAGATCCCCAGTCCTAAATGAATCGTAAAACCGGCTGTTGGCTCCCAATACTGTGGTCTTGATGTCTTTCTGAAGGTTCTTCAGAGCATCTCTGATTTCTGCTGCTTTAGCATAGTTCTCTTCTGCAATGGCATTATGCAGCTCCTCCTCCAAAGTCTGCTCATCCAGTGCAATGCTCTCACTGCTCAACATACTCTCTGAGTCTTCTCTTTTTACTCTCTCTAGTCTCCCTGACAGAAAACTAGAAGATGGGTCAGATAAATGCTATGGAAGCTTTAGTATAAAATCAACAATGAACCGTGAAAACTTTGTTGGATTCAGAACAACATAGTTAGACGTCTGCTGTCAAGTTCTCCAGTTAAAACATGACATCTGGATAAAATTCTTCAAACAGCCCAATCTTAGGGTGTTGACTTGGATAAAAGATATTCAGATATCATGTCTCCATTGGAGAACTAGGCGCCTGACACTTCAAATCCGTATCTGAATTTTGTTTTGCAGAAAACTGAACCGAAGCAGAATCAAGAAAAAGGCCGACAATTTCATTGGTCGTTCGTTAAAATCTAGTCGTCATATCATCAGCAAATTCAAACACAAATATGAACTACTTTGTCTTGAGCAAAATAGACTTACTCAATCTTCCAAGGCTTTTGCCTAACACTAACTTGTTTTTCGTCAAGGAAGGCAGAGAAACATGTTGAAGCTTCCCAAAGCTATTAATGAATGAACCGGGCAAGAAATTAAACTCTTTTGTGGTAGAAGAAAGTCCCTTCACAAACAAAAATCCAAAATCAATCCATATACACTCAGAGAACATGCTGATCTGAAGCAACTGGGAGGGAGGGAAAAAACAAAAAGAAACATAATTTTCAGCGATATATTAAATAAATTTTTTTGCGGTGTAATCAACCCAGCTATTAAGAAACTTGAGTAGATACGAATTATAATATTATATCCCATATTCCAACAGAGTCAACAATCAAATCATCGAAGCAACAAGAGTCATGGAACTTGAAGATTAAATTCTGTCAAAATATCAAGTATTCATGTCCAAACTCAACACTTCAATTAATCATTCAATAGGTTCGTCAGAACCCAAATCCTCTTCCATCATTGCACAGGAGTTTCTGAAAAGTGAAATATTTGAGATGCTTCTCATAGCGATAGAGCTATTAGAAGTAAGTTTTTAGGGGAAACAGAAATGAAAGCTTACACTGAAGGTGAGGGTGGCAGTTCCTTGGAGCGCCATAGATGAAACTACGAACTGGATCTCCAGAATTAAGGTGCCAGTGACACAGGAATAGGGTTTATGGAAAGTGGAAACCCATCCGATCACGATCGGGCAAGGAGAAGCAATGGTAGCTCGCCAACCCACTCATCAATGAAACGCACCGTTCTCATAAAAGAGGAGAAACCGCAGCCGTTCGTCTCAATATAATCTGGCCGTCCATTCTTATCTCATGGAATGCTGGAGGACGAAGGTGGCAATAGGCTATGTTTGGATAGCACTCCAAACCATGGTTTGGGGACCCAAACCATGGTTTGAGAAAAATGCTACTCAAACAGCCTCTCCAAAAACCAAAACCATGGTTTTGGGTCAAAATCATGGTTTTGACTCCAAAACCATGGTTTTGGAAAAAGCAAATTTTTTTTGCTTTTGGAGAAAAAAGGGAGAGTGTGAGGGCCTATATGATATGTATCTTGTTATTTTTTTTATAAACATATTTTTTTATAAATATATTTAATCTTATATTTTATAAATATATATAGACATTAATTATTTATTAATTATATTATCTTATGTATTATTAATTATGTTGGTAAAAAACATATTATTAACAATTTTATTTCTTCAAATTAAAATATATCATAAAATCTATTTTTTCTGTAATTATCATATTAACTTATGTCTTTTTTTTAGTAATTTGTATATATAAAAAGTGCTTCTGATAACAACTATCCAAACACTCTCACTTCTCAGAATCACTTTTTTACAAAATCTATTCTTCACAGAATCTATTTTTTCCAGAATCTATTCTCCAGAATCACTTTTCCAAACCACGGTTTGGTTTTATCCAAACACACCCATAGTCAATAATGGCCCGAGATGCGGACCCAGCTTGATAATCCTGGCATTAATTGTTCTTTTTTATAAAAAACATTTTTATTTGACATAAATAAAATGATTCTATAAAAAATTTGGCTAATCAAATTTGGTTAATTTGAAAAAAATCTAAATAATCCTGGCATTATTCAACAACAATATTTATTGGCAAGTTTTCTTTTCCCAATTATTGGCAAGTGCTTTTAAATCAAACAAAAATCAAATTAACAGGTTTTTTATTATAATGAAATTGGTTGTGTATTTTAACCACAGATGTTTTCCCTATTACAAAAGATTTGGAAGCTTATCGTTATATTGATTTGAAAATTGTAAAAGGTCAGTTAATTGTTACACTCCTCTCTATGGTGCTTTTTTATGGTTAGGATATAAATTCAATTTGTATGGATAAAAGGGGGCGTGACTGCGTGAGTTTAGGTTTTTTTTTTTTTTTTTCCAGTGATGCAAATTAAGTTTATAGAACGTAACTAAACATTTAAATTAAAAAATTGAATGCACTTGCCCCTTATAAAACCAGGAAAAAAAATGAACGCGCTTTAATTAATTTAAAAATTCAAATGTGTGTGTAATTTAAATATGTTCTTATACAATGTGTAATTTAAACATTTTTGCCAGTATAATTGGCACTTTTTTCTGCCTGAAAATGATTCACATGTGGATATGGTTAATGTAACAATTGTTTTTGGATAAACAATCCTGTACGAAACACTGTTAGGTACTAAGGGTGTGTTTGGTATGAGGGATTTGGAAGGGAGGGGAGGGGAGGGGAGGGATTTTAATCATTTTCCCTTGTTTGGCAACACACAAATTTTAGGAGGGGAGGGAAAAAATTTTAAAATTTCCCCTCCCCTCCCCTCCTCAACCTCCCCTCCAAAATTGGGAGGATTTGGAGGGAAAAGGCAATATTTTGTCATATTATAACCATTATGTTCATATTTTGTCATGTTGTGACCATTATGTTTATATTTTGTCATGTTGTGACTATTATGCCCACGCCTTAAATAAAATAAGAGCAAAATTGTCCATATTAAAATATTTTTCCCTCCCCTCCCCTCTTTTTTTATAAATCCAAACAAGGTGATATTAAAATCCTTCCACTCCCCTCCCCTCCCCTTCCCTCCATTAAAATCCCTCCCCTCCCCTTCCTCTCATTGAGCCAAACATACCCTAAATGTGAGGATCTTTCTGAGTGGGAATTTGAATCTTGATTCGCTATATTATAAGAGACTAATTTTTTTGTTAAACCCAACTCAACAGGTATAGCGAATAATATTTCAATCATACTAATACAATGCCCGGTGAAAAAAAAATCAATCTAATACAATAATATTTTGGACCGTAAGATATGGAATGATCTATTAGACTATTGGGCAGGATTTCCTGACCCAAACTTTTATTGGGCAACTGAGAAGAATGTTATCAACCTGTTGGGCTAGCCCAACTTTAAAATATTTGTTCCTTGGAAGGACTTTGGGCTATTTGGAGTAGAAGGCAACAGTGGAGGGGAAACAACCAACATTAGTTTTGGAAAGTAAAAACTCATCATTTCTAATAACATTTTCCATGAAGCTGCCCTAACCCGCTCATTCACACCTAATAATATGATTATGTCTTCTCACATAGCGATGTCTAAAAAAGTCAAAATAACTTTTAAAATTTCTTCGAATTATTCAACTTCAATGAGCTTAGCCCATTTGTTGTAAATGGCCATCAAGAAGACCATTTGGGAGGAAATCTCCAATGTCATGATATATTGCAACCCAATCTTCAAAATCCAGGTTCAGCTTACTCTCATCGTCAACAGTGACAAATTGAGAGAGGCACACCTTGGTGCCACTGAGGAAGCCCTCCAGTTTATGTCCCTTGATAGGGAGAACATGTGTTTGCCACACCAGATAATTTGTTCCATCTAGCTTGATAGAGCAGCTTTGATTGATGCTATTTCCAGACTGTTGCTTTGGTAATGCAGTAGTAAAGGCAAGTGATTATTAGAAGCATTGCGCATTTCAAAGAAAGAAACGATACAAATGCTCTTTCACTCCGCCCCACTAAGATTATTAAGGTTTGTGGTGGGAAAAAAGAAAGAAAGAAAGAAAAGATCATTAAGGGGCATTGCATTTAACAGAGCGACAACATGAATTAATAAATTGATTATTACCGCGTTCAACGACTCTTCATTGGTTTCTGGGTCCCCCTTCAGTGGCTCTTCTTCAGTTTATGGGTCCTCCTACAAAAGGGGAAAATAAATATCAGAAGCATAGTGGTTGACAAAAAGAAACGATACAAATGCTCTTTTGCGTCGGAGAAAGGGAGAAAAAGTCATTAAGAGGCATTGCATTTAACAGAGTGACAACAAGAATTACTAAATTGATAATTACTGTGTTCAATGGCTCTTCATCGGTTTCTTGGTGCTCCTGCAAAATGAAAAAAAATATCAGACACATTGCATTTAACATATACAGATGTCCTTTCACAAGATTATTAACGTTGGTGCCCAAAAAAAGAAAGAAAATATCATCAAGAAGCATTGCATTTGACAGAGAGCAGCAAGAAGAATTAATAAATTGATTGTCACTGTAATCAGTGGCTCTTCTACAGTTTTCGAGTCTTCCTGCAAAAGGCAAAAATGAAGAAAATGGAGAAGCAAGCATGAGAAAACAAATAAAGAAAGCAATATGAAAATCTTGAGAAAGTAAAGGCACCTGGGGTTCCACAGCATGAACCGAGGAAATACCCCGGTTTTGAACCATGTGAAGGGTGTTGCCGAGTCAATCATAGGAGTAGGGAAGTACAAGCCTCTTTGAGAAATGAAATGCAAAAACAGGCCCTGGCCTCGTGGAAGATGAGGCCAAGCCATGAAAGATCGCTCTGGTCACAACCAACATTTGAGGAAAAAGCTAGGGATTTCCTTACGTGAACTAGGTTTTGCGAATTGCAAGAACAGTGGAAGGCTACTTTTATAATCTTAATTATTGCTTGCTCAATAGTCGGGTGCGGACAGATTAAAAGAACTATTTAAAATTATTAATAGGAAGAATTACAATCAAGTCCTAATCAAGTTCTAAGAAAGATTTTTGTTTTTGTTTTCCTTTCTTATTACTTTATTATAATTTTTCCTTATTAAACACGATTTATTTATTTTTTCCCATTTACACATTTATTAACCAAACTGGTCCGCGTTTAAATACAACAATATTTTCCCGAGTATTAAAAAACTGAAATTTCAACCAAAATACCTTGACTGTCATTACCGATTTTTTTCAATAAAAAAAGTTTTAAAATTTTATGCAACTTTTCCTCGTGAAAATCACATATTTAATTTTTTTTTTGGGGTAATAAAGGAGGCATATGGGGTTTGATTCCCAAACCACCGTTTGGGAATTACTATTATTTTCTTCGTCACATTTCTGTTAGATTAATTACAATAAATGAGAATTAATAGAACATTCAAGAATGTAATCACAATAAGTAATAAGGAGTCCAATCCCAAATTGAAATAAATGACAATAAATGAGAAAGCTTTCGTCTTAAAGAGCCTTCAAGTTGCGATCCTAATATCTCCTTTGCGTATTTCTCCTTTTCTCCTCAATACGTCATCTCTGCCCATAAATACAAAAATGAATAATTCAGATTTACCATTTCATTAAATTACTATTATAATATTTTATAAACCATTTTTTCCCAAATTTTGCATGTATTATTATGAACTGTGTAAATCATTATTTCAACAATTTGAAACTTATTCATTTACGTTTATAATAATAATAATTTTTTAAAATATTATAACTGAACTATGATTTTTTTTTAAAATTGGATTTGGCCATCTTGTTTGGTTAGTTGGATTTTCCTTGTATTTTCATTTTTTTGGTTTGCTTGTTAGTTGGGCACGTTATTGGGCTTTATTGGGTTCGTGATCTGGGAAAGCCCAATAACGTCTGGTCCAGGTAACTGTTAACCGGAGGAATAAATAACAAATTGTCATTTTACCAAAAATAAAAAAGAACAAAGATGAAAACGGATATGTGCAAGAAGTGAATCATGCGCTCACCCCTATTCAGACTTTTTTTTAGTCATTATTCGTGATAATCTCATAATACTTTTTTTTTCCCCCTATATGATTTGATTTGAAAATTGTCGCTCAAAACTCAGTTAATTGTTACACTCCTCTTTATGATGCCTTTTTTGTGGTTAGGGTATAAATTCAATTTGTATGGATAAAAGGGGGCATGAGTTTAGGCTTTTTTTT